TTTTTTAAAAAACTGCTGCAGGGGAAAAAAAATCTGTAGCTGCAACACATGCTGCCTGATCCTGTATATTTTCACGACCTTAGCCATTTGTCTTTATTACTCCTTTTTTCCTACTTCTTTTGGACTCACCGTCTCTATGTATTTTAGAGCTGAAAATCTTTGCTCAGCTTAAATCTCACTACTGGTTAGCAGGAAAATGTGTTGTTTTTTTAACTTGATTTTACAGGACATATAAATAATCTTTTAAAAAGCTGGCAGCATGTTAAAAACTTTAATTCATTCCCAGCTATCTATTATCCCATACAAAAAGAGTTATTACTTTAATGTCATTAAGTCCTCAGCTGGTTGACTTTTTTTATATAAAGAAAAACTTTTAAACAGGATTGTACAACGTTAGGAAGCATGGCTATCCAAAGAGATAATGCACATTTGTCTGTAAAGACATTGATGTCCTATTACCAGAGAAAAATTCTTTCAAGGAGCTGTTTCTAATACAAGTACACTTATTAAAAATGATAGGTCAAGACTGATCCTGGCAAAGTAAAACAGGATTTGGCCTAAGAGTTCTGGCAGGTATCCAGAAAAAATATTCTGGGCCCCTTTTTTATTTTTTTGGTATGCTAACAATTACTGTACGGTTTTTGTTTAGACACCAGTTCACTGGCCTTAGCAGCTTCCAATATGCAGAGGTATTACAATTTGCTGTACGCCAGCCAAACAAAAGCATGCTTTGAAAAGAACTGTTTTATTACATTATAATTTTTGAACTGTCTTGGTGCTGTGTTTTACTGGCTTGCAAAATGGAATATTTTATAATCATTCCAATTGATGCCAGTTAAACCATTACCATTTTAAAATATTACTTTGTACTAAGCGCCAATTACACCCTGAAAATGCAGCACAAATTAATTTTTCATGTAGTCCTGCTGTAATTTTGCAGCTAGATTTAATCTTTTACAAGTTTATTTCAATATTAAAAAAAGTCTGCCATTTTGATTTTGTGATATCGAGTCTAATTAAATGTTACTAAAGCTGAGAACATGGGAACATATGAAATGAGAAAAAACCCTCTGTACACCAAGCTCATTCTTTGGAAAGAAAAAAGGCACCTTTGCCTTATGTTGGACTATTCCATTTTTTAAAATTAAATGAGGAAGGCGACTAACTACAAATAAATCTTCTAAGCACATAAAAGCTCTGAAATTTCTTCTCATCACCAATGTCATCTTGCAACACTCCAGGTTATCAGTGAAATATGATTACCTGCATTATTTTCCTCCTAAACAATTGCACTCTATAGATGACATCCCCATGAGTCCAGTGATGGGGAATCATTTTCACAGAGTATTTGATCATCTATCAGTGCTTATCCTTATAACTTTCAATCCTGATCTTAAACAAATATTTTTACAACTGATTTTTAAAGGAATTAATCAGCATAGCATTAACTGTTTTTGCTGGAATTCTTATCCATTTTTCTATGTATAAAAAAAATCTTCTAATCTCCAGAATTTTGTCCTCTCATTCTACCATCACAATCTCAGTTAAATAACCTATTTAAATTTTGAGAGACATGGATAATATAGATGTCAGGACTCAGATCATATGTCAATCTACTTTTCTGCTATGGAAACAAATTCTGTATTGTGATTCTCTTTTCGTAGCTTAAAACTTGAAATCCTAGGATAATTCCTTGTCCTGCTCTGAACTCTCTCCAATGCAATTCAATTGCGATAAATGTGAGGTATTGCATATAGAAAGTAAAAATAGGAGGTACGTGAACATCATGGATGGGAATGGAGCTTCCCAAGGGAGAAATTGGAAGAAACTTCAGGGTTTTAGTTGACTCATCGCTCACAATGTTGAAACATTGTGAGGCATTGATAAACGAGGCTCACAGCATGCTGGCCAACATTGTCAAATCAATTGAGTTTAGATCTCCAGAAGTCATGCTCATACTGTATAATGCTTTGGCCAGGCTTCACTTGGAGTCCTGCATGCAGCTCTGGCCAACCTGTCTTAGGGAGCTGCCAAGGGCTTAGAGGTAATACAAAGACGAGCAACAAGAATCGACACCAGTGTTAGAGGAATAAGCTATGAGGAATAATAGATAAACTAGGCCTCTTTGGCCCAGAAAAGAGATGTCTTGGATGAAAGAACCTTAAAAAGGTATTCAGTATATTCAATGGGATAATGAAAATAAACCCCGGGAAAATGGTTCCTGATGCACCATGAAAGCATATCACAGCTTCAGAGTTACAAAGGGCCATTTTAGGATAGGCACAGGGAAATACACTACAGTATAGCTTTACAGAGAATAATCAACAGGTGGAGGAGGCTGCCAGGAAGGATGATAGAGGTCAGACACTGGACTCGGTTAAGACGTAACTGGTACTGTAGCAAAATAGAGAGTTTAGAGTGTTGGTTGGAGGTGAAATTGGGGAATTATTCTGGGTGAGTTGCTGGGCTTTTTGCTACTAACTCTGTTGTCGGCCTCTCTGTTGCCAGTTGTCTTCTCTTTTTCTGTTACCCCACCCCACACACGCACACACACACACACACACACACACACAAAAGATGAATCAACAAAAAAACTATTTTAGCGGCGACCATTTAAGGGGGAAAAAACACTTCCAAAAACAGTCAAGGGAGCTCCAGGGGAAAGTGGGAATTGGTTTTCTAGCAGAATGAGATTGAATGGTCTGAAACTCTGCTGTGATACTCTGAAAAGTAAGCATCCCAAACTGCATAGAATACAATCAAATGTCCTGCTCATCACAATTTTTTTTGATGTCTCATGCACTGTCTACACAAAATCCCCCATTAATTTGGGGTCGGTCATTCTGTCCTGCCAGCTGATTTCCAACATGCTCACACGGCATGTACTAAAAGCCTCCAACCTCTGATTCTTTGCTTTCTCAGATCCAGATCTCAGTACCACACTGAAATGTCGACTGCACACGGTGGTATTTTACATAAATAGAATAGATTAAATATTCCAGACACCAAGAATTAAATAACAGATGTTGCGTAATTTTAAAAAAATCTATTTTGACAGAAGTATCATAACCTCAAACTTTGGAGGTTTAGCTGTGTACTTGTGAGAACCCTTTAATGATGTCCAAAGTTCTATATTATACACGTTCACACATTTCTATCAGTATGACCCACAGAGACGCCCAGGTATTAGGCAATATGACACCGTGGCAAATCTAGTAAATTGGCCCTGGTTTCACCCACATGTTCTATATAATTTGTTCAATAGCATGAACGATTTACATATCTTATTTTTGTGTTGTTAATTTTAACAGGTTTTAAAGATTTAAGTGTTTTGAAGAGTCCAGCTGGTGCTTTATTCTTTATTAAGCCCTGCATTTTCAACAGAGTATACTTTTGTACTGCACTGAATTATATTGCAATGATTGAATTATTCATTTTTCCACAACCCCAACAAGGCGAGGACTGAGACGAACAAATATTTCAGAAGGCATGAGGGTTCTGTGCTGCCAGGGCCTGAGGGAGGAGTGATGATGTCTGTATAGGGAAGAAGGTCAAGGTTGGAATGTGGGGATGGATGAATATTCTGGGCTCCTTCCTTGATCACTTTTGGCAATCAAGGAATATCTATGCAGAACTTTCCCCCAGGAGACAGAGTGGTTTATAATAAACTGGTGCAATTAACCATAATATTAAGATTAGGGAAGATGGAAATAAATGATCCAGGTAAGGTTTGTTTTCTAGAAGACATTCAGTTTGTATTTTTCCAAAATACAAAAATCTTACTCTTGTCCATATTGAGGTAAATGGCCCATTTATAGTGCAATTTTAGCACTACTACAAAAAAGGCATTGAATTGATGGTGAAAATGTCGGTCTAAATTCAGCTCACAGCTTGAGAGGTGGTTTCAGAAGAAAAGATTTTTACCACTGCTGAATAAACGCAAGCAGGGCAAATCAATTTGGAATCTCTGCTCTCTGCCTGTCACTCTTTTGCTCATAGTCCTATATATACTCTAAATTTAAAATAACATTTCAAATTGTATTTCCTATCTTGAAAAACAGCCTCTGGATCCATTTATTAAATCTTTTTGCAAGCGTTTGGGTCTAAGGCACTATTTGCAAACCCAAGAGAATGATTTATTCCATGTATAGAATGGGATATCCATTAAATCTACAGAATAAAAAGTTCACTAACGTTAGACAAATTAGACTCTTGTTCACATCACAAACCCAAATTAAACGCTTAAATTAACTTGCCACTTTTCAGGGTTTTTACAGGCATAGTTTGGTGCACACATACAGTACGTATAATAGTAATCTTTGCATTCGATTTAGCGCCTTATCACGTCATTGAGACATCTCAACAAGCTTCACAGAATATATTGTATATTTTGTGGGTGAAACTGCACAGCAGTATCCGACAAACAGTCGTGAATTGAGTGACCAGATACATTTTTGAAGGGATTATTACCCCGGAAAAGCAATCCGCCAATCAACAAAAAACAGTGTTCCTACTTACTGCTAGGTAAACGGAGCATGTGGAGTAAGGAAACTTGCCTAAGCTTTCACTCTGCCTGTGACTTGAACAGGATCCTCTCACTTGCAAGTTGAGTGCTCTAACCAATACTCCACAGGACTCCATCTCCTATCTTTTCAAGTTGGAAGAAATCTTGCATTGCTTCCAGCAGTAAAAAAACAGCAACCAGTTTTAGTCGGTCATCAAACAGTTAAGAACCATCCACAGAGAAAAGATAATCTCGTCCCTCCCCCTCAAAAAGGAGTAATGGTAATTAATAAGTTGGGGAATGATTTCCATAACCAGTATGAAACCTGATAGTCTGCAGGAGGTGCTTTTGCTGCCAGTGTTTGTCTATAAAGCTGGCAGTAAATCTGATCGCTCAAAACTATTCATTCCAGCATGAACAAATTTTAAGTCAACATAGTCCCCTAGTACTTTATTCACAGAAGACAATAAATTGTTTCTTTACCGTTTGCATTTAGGCATGAACAGGAGAGTCTCATAGCAGAAAAGCTTGCAACCATTGAAGACATGCACAACAGGTTGAAGACCAATGTTGAGTCAGTACAGCTCCTGAACCAACAGGTACAATTACAGAGAAATGTCCCTGGTAGATTGGAACTGTGAAATCAATGCTCAGATTCTATCCAAAGTTCTCCCAACTCTTTAAGAGCAAAGAGCCTGATCTTTCTGTGTTTGATAATTTTAGTGCCATTGTAGATTTATGTAATCAGGAGCAGAATGTCAGGAGATAGCACCAACCAATATACCGTCCATGTTGAATGTTACTGACTTCTGAGAAACTGGAGTTAAAATCTTCAAGGGAAAAGGGTACATTTATTATGGTATAGGTATTGGCTGAAAAGCATATTGAAAAATAAGTATTTAACTCCTGGTCAAACCTTGGTATAACAGAAGTGCAATGCATGAAAGGTTCAGGTCTACCAAGGAGACTGAGGTATCTCTCTTGTCTAAAATGCCCTATAAGGCCGTCATTCTTTAGTAATTCATTCCCACTGGCAATAAAGCAACTCCCAGAGGATATCTCTGGAATCGGTCAGTTTGCTGTTTATTCAACAACAACTTGCACTCATGTAGCACACTCCATGCAGGGTAGCGTCTCAGATCGCTTAACACTGGCGGAGCCTGACTCCGAGCCGGGGCCGCTGGATGTGAGTAGCAAATTTGGAAAAGCTGATTTTTGTTTGAGACCCTATATCCAAGGGCGGCAAACAAATTAAGATGTGCAGTACATAGCCGAATGTAAACCAGTGGATCACAGTTGACTGTAACTATCTTTAAAGTGACTGTAAATATGTTTGCATGAAAATAAGTTGTCCAATTGCAGTGCTCCGTGGAATACCTGGGAACCTTTGACACCTATCTGCCTGCTTCCAGTGGCTGGTCTACTGCTTGTTGTAAGCATGTAAGAGGAAGGTTTTCAGGCAGGACTTGGAAAAGGGGAGAGAGGGGGCAAGGCGGAGGAATTGAGGGAGAGTATTGCAGAGTTTTGTGGCATAGTGGCTGAAAGCGTGACCTCCGATGGTGGGACAGAGGGGGCAGTGGACGAGCAGGAGGCTGGTGCCAGTCAAACGGAGGCGCCAGGTGATGTAATGGGGAGTGAGGAGGTCGGAGAGGTCGGGAGGTGTCAGAGAGTGAAGGGTCAAGTGCATTAAGAAGGTAGTAATTGAAGCAATATTTTGTTGGTCGGCACCTACTACATGGACCTCAGTAACAACAAGCAGTAGACCAGCCACTGAAAGCAGGCAGACAGGTGTAAAGGTTCCCAGGTATTCCACGGAGCACTGCAATTGGACACTTATTTTCATGCAACATATTTACAGTCACTTTAAAGATAGTTACAGTCAACTGTGATCTATTGGTTTACATTTGCGTACTGCATATCTTAATTTGTTTGCCACCCTTGGGTATAGGATCTCAAACAAAAATCAGCTTTTCCAAATTTGCTACTTAAACACTTTCATTTCCACAGCTGTATTTGGGGCTTTCAATCTTTATCCCCAACCAATGGCTCATTAAGCGTTAAAAGCTCATTATCACAGGTGATTGTAATTGTCTGGTGCATTTGTATCAGCACTTACTCTACCATTATTTTTCACAACAGCAATAGGAACGCTGACACTGATCAAATTCCATTAGTGGTTCATTAAACAGTTGTTAGAAAGGGTTTCATTTCAGTCTTTTACATAAAAAGGAACGTCAGGTCTTAAATTTCAGTTTTAAAATATATTTAAGCTATCACATTAGTGACAGTGTTAGCCCGGTTCTCAAGTCACATTGCACACAGTAAAAATACCTCCATTGGGAACTGAAACATTAGCAATGGCTGGAAGTCATTGTTTGCTATCATGCAATCTCTGCAATGTTGGTTTTCTGAAAATTAAATTTGTTGAATACTATAATAGAAAAAACACAGAATTATAAGCATATTGATTCATTTAGTGACTGTTGATAAAACTTTGCAGCCCTGTTTTATATACAACTATAATATTGTTGTATAGGCCTGGATTGCTGATAAACAAAAGTGTTATAGTTCTCCAAAAGTTAAGACCCATAACAGAAAACAACTAATGTAGTCAGTCAAAAGGATATTCACCTTTTCATTCCTGTTCAAGTTTTGTATGAATCGTCAAATACCACTGGACTCAGTTCAGTAGTTGACAGACAAAAACATGGACAACATCTATTTTATTTCCCCACTACTATGAATTTTTGAAACATTTGAAAATGCTTAAAAAAAACTAAAGTGCAGCAAACCAAAATTCTGTTAGCTGTACTTTAATGTCAAAATGTTCTTTCATTCTGCCTAACAATGAGGTTGTTTTGATTCTGTCACAGACCCAACAATTTATATCTGGTCCATAATTTTTTTACTCTATATGGGAATGTCTGCATTTTGTCTAAAGGTAACAGAAGTGAAACTCCCAAGAGGATAAGGCATTCTATAAAAAGCTGTAGAAGGAAGTCATTAGGCTGTTGAGGGAGTAAGAAGTGAAGTAGGCGAGTTGTGAAACATTCATATTATAGGTCATCTCAGTAATTATCTGACACCTACAGATGGAGTCACTTCTTAATCAAAAGAATGAATCATTACAGATATTGATTCAGACTAAGATGTTTAAAATAATGAGTCCGTAACCTCAGTATAAATTTCAGAGGTAATTTCTGCAACTTTGCAGCCAAAGTTTCAGTTTAAGTAATAAATGAAATGTCTCATTTCATTTTACTTTAATGGAAAATTATGTCTGCGGTGACATCAGAAAAATTGCCACAGTTTAATTTGTGTCTAACTGAGAGAATTAGATTTACTAGGAAAAAATATTTAGGATGCCTATTGCTTTAGAATTCATCATTTAAAGTTAGTGTTTAAAATAGTTTGGGAAACTTGTAGATTTCTTTAATATTTTAAATGTAACCTTATCCTGGATATTGTTTGAGTCATTTCAGGCTTGCTGCTGTGTTTTTATTACTTTATAATATATTACTGTTTGCACAGGCAATTTATTGAAGGGAATCATCCATTTTAAAGAATTTTACGTGACTGCCATTAGTAGTTACATCTGTATCTAATTCACAACTCAAAACAAAAATCCGCATTGCAGTTCCTTGCTCCTATTCCCTGTATACAACACTGCTTTACTACCACTTTTGCCAGTTATAGTTGTCTAACATGTCTGCATGTTTAAAGTACAAACACATTTTGTAGTTAATTTTCAAATGTTGCAGTGTTTATTTTGCGTGAGTGAGTCAAGCTCATCTTTGCGAAAGACAGCAAGACAGACAGCAAAGCTAAAGGTTATTACTGGCGCATGCCTTAAGTCCCGTTCCCCTGTTGAAAATGAAGGCACAGTCAAGGCTTTTTCTCCATCATTTATTTGTTTGCAAACCAAATACGGGGGAAGAAATTATATTTGTTTTACACACGTTTAAACTGAATATATCAAAAATATTCTTTGATATTCAGTTTAAACTGATTCTGTTCATTGTATATTGTTGTCAGAAGTGGCCATATTTTTTTCATTGACATTTCTTCATAACTTTCTATAAAATGTTTTAATCAAATAATTCTGTTTTCCTGTTTCCATATTAACTTGTGTAATGAAATGGTTCACGTGTACACTCTTGTGATTGGTTTCTCCGTCTGATGGAAACCATCTCAGACCTTAGAAAATGTCAGTCCCTAGACACCATCTACTGGATTTCAAAACTTATTGCAGCATTTAAACAACAAATAATGATAGCATGCTTTTCCTTTTATTATATGTAGTATTCTGAGGAATTAACTGCACAAGGAAATAATCAGATAATGTACTATTCATTTGCAAAACCTAAGCTATTTATTATTAGAGATGAGCATGGATTCTTCTGTTATAACTCAACTCACCCTGTTCTCAAATATCAGATTGTTCACTAGTAAGAGTTACACAGCATTATAGAAAATATAGAGTATCAAATAGAGTACCCAATGTATATATTACATTTACATTATGCCTGTTTATACTGCTTGAAGTGAAGCAATATCGCTTGCAGCAGAGAGCATTGTGGAACAGGAAGCTAAGTGTATTATGTTATGCTTTTAGCTGCATTGGTGGTGACCACACCAATGTCAGCTGTTAGTTTTTAAAAATCTTTTTAAAGTGTAGGTCGTATCCAATTGACTTCCCAAGAACTTTCAGGAGATAAGTTTTAAGTAAAGACTGAATCGATTCACACTCACTGTGTGTACACTTGCAAAGTACACTTGTGAATTGATGCGGTACCAAAACCACCTTCTCAAGGTGGTCAGACCCATTCACTTTCAGAACTCACTGCTCATACTGAATTTATACTGCACTTTTCATAGCAAATCGCTGTGAAAATTTTGCAATTCTCTTCAACAATAAGCATAAACAAGACATTAATGCCCAAATCCCTGATTGTCCAGCACCTTGGGAAATTCTCTCAATGTGAAAGGCGCTATACAAATGTAATTTTCTATTGCACATAGAAATTCAGATAGAATGAGATGTGTGATTTAATAAATGTCTCCAAATTAATCTGACTTTATAACTGACAGCTTCAAACTTGAGACATTGTATCACAGTACTGATTGCAATATTTCATATCATATCCAAACGAAAAGGGTATGTGGTAGGTTTTAATGGAAAATAAGTTTACCATTTTTTTGTAATTAATGAAATAAATTGAAAGTTTTGTGAAATGGTCTTTTGTTCATTGTTCTTTTAATAGAATCTTAGAATTATACAGCACAGAAGGAGCCCATTCGGCCCATCAGGTCTGGGACAGCTCTTTTAAAAGATCTATCCAAATCAATCCCACTTCCCTGCTCTCTCCCCATAGCCCTGCAAACTTGTCCGCCCCAAATAATTATCTACTCTCTTAAAAGTTGTTACCGAATCGGCTTACACCACCCTTTCAGGCAACGCATTCCAGATCCAAACAGCTCGTTGTGTGAAAACATTTCTCTTCACCTCCCCTCTGCTTCTTTTAACAACTATTTTAAATCGGTGTCCTCGAGTTACTGACCCACCTGTCAGTGGAAATAGTTTCTCCTTGTTCACCCTATCGTATCCCCTCAGAATTTTGAAAACTTTTTAAAACTTTTTATACCGGTGCAGCGCAAATGTGTTGTTGTGCTTTTCTGCTGCTATTTCTCCACACAAGAATTGTTTTTAATTTTAAGGAATATATATTAAATTGGTTATCTTGACTGTAAATTCATACTGAAATAGAGTACCTGATTTTTAATGTTGTGTAATATTTTCTGTTTGACATGTAACAGTTAAATAGCCTGAACAAGGAACATTTACAACAAAGAAGACAGCTGGAAAAGGAGCAGGTCCAACGCCATCAACTTGAACAGCAGTTAGAAGCCTTTAGTAAGATAATTCTTTCTCTCAGAGCACAATTGGAAACTAAAGCAGAACTCCACGGGTTATCTGGGCAGAGAGCATCTTTATTTGAAGGGGCCATGGTTTCTGATGCAACAACCACTTTAAACTCCTACTTGGGGCTTGAACAAGGGTCATTCAGTGGTTCTCAAAGGGAGAGAGTGGAAGATTTAATTAGGAAGGATCTTGCAAAATCTGGGCTAACTGATTCAGTGGCACCAGATAAATCGTATTGGATCCAGCGTGTTGGAGAACTCTCTGCTCAGCTACAGGAAAGCACCGAATACTGGACAGACAAAATGAATGCATTAACCAAGGAAATTGAGCATGCTCATTTAACATCCTCCAAAAAATAATGGGTTGTAAATAAGCGAGTACATAAGACACAAATGATGATAAAGATCTCCTCCCTAAATGAGTGAAGTATTTCATATTCAGAATTAAATACAAGTTTTTAATGGGAACAAAGTAACATGAAAACCATTATTAATGTGAAATGTTTATGCAATATTAATTGCAGGTTTACAGCACAATTTGCACAAGATCTTGGGGAAAGTTACCGAAAATTAGTTAATCTCTGTGTAGAGATCACTGAATAAAGTGGGCATCAAAAGGAAGTGGGAAATATTAAATATTATTAATAATAAATATTAAATAATTCAACCTCAATTTCAACTCAAAGCAAGATGAGTTAAACAAACAAATTCTGATTCATCTTTTATTCCCTCCACCAAAAAAAAGGCATTTTTTTAATGAGGCAGGGGCAGGGATTGTTCGTGATAGTTATGTGTTGTTCGCGGTTGTAAATTGGTTGCCACCGCTGCTGTTAAATGACATAATAGTCATGACAGTAAGAAAAAGCAAGCCCTTGTTATATTTTTTAATATAAAAGAATCTACATAATTAAGCAATGAATATGGATGCAGGCTTGCCTTGATAGACTATTATAAAACAAATACTCTCTAAGGCTACAGAATTCTCAATTCCTTAAATTTTCATGTTTTTGAATTATATTTCTTTTGGAAAGAAAGCAAAACAAAACTTTGCTTTCAATAACAAAACTGTACTTACCCCTGCCTGTTTCATTTTTGTGAATGACATGATTTCTCGTGGATATTTTGTAACGAGGCTAGGAATTTAGAAAAGGAAGCTTAAGTATGGACAGTCATATCCTGGATCATTCCTTCAAAGTTAAAACAGAAGTTCAAATCCATGAATTGTTTATCTTTGCATCAGTTCTGCGAGAGAGTACATATGAAGTTTATTGCTTATATGGCACATCCAAAATGTGTTTAATTTTTTTTCAGTATGTTGGCGATCGTTATCTTCTCTAAACAGTTCATGTATGCTTTGAATCATCATCTTATTCGGGTAATTCTCAGGCTGTTAATAGGACCTGACAATAACTGGTACTTACACAGCACTGTGTCAGGGCAGGACAATTGTCTAAGGACAGAATTTAATTGGAGGAGTTCAGGTGTGCTTTTTTAGCATTAAAAAAACCTTACGTATTAAAAAAAATTTAAATAAAAATGTAAGTGCTTCCTAATTATTCAAAAAGATCATCAAATAATTGAATATGTTAAAATGTAACTGTTCAAAAGGGTATTTTTCTTGTTCATATACGTGAAACATTTGTTTTGGATCTATTAGCATTTTATCAGAAACATTTCACTCCTAGCCCAAAAATGCTATTCATGTACATTAAATTCACAAGTGTTGAACTGTCCTGCCCTGCAACACTGCATGGGCTCCTTTGTTGCTTATTGTGACTGCATTCCCTTAGTAGAAATGAGCTTCAGTCCATTTCATCGACGCATCATTTTAACCTCAACATCATGTTATTACATCACAGCATTTTAACAAAGCCACTTCAATTGATCTTAACTGAACTAATGGTATTCTCCTGTAGTGAGTGAATTGTCACCTGTTTACTCAGATTCTACTTATTGCTGACTTTGACCTAAAAACCTTTCCCTAAACTGGTATTTCTCTAATTTAGTTTGGTTTTCCACACAATTGAAACCAAATAGAAAGTTCAACTGTACGTTTTTTTTTATTTCATTTGTTTTGGTAGCTGGGATTAGTTTATAGGTTTCCCCAGGTTTATTATCTGCTGGCACATATATACTGCAGTAGACCATGCACAACTATAAAAAAATATTATTAATTTGATAAGTTTGGGGAAACTATAATGTTAAATTATTTTAAGGCCCGGTCAATTCTATAAACTATGCATTGTTTCTAAAGTCCTGATGTCCTTAGACACTTAGTCTTTGTTCCTTAAACATTAGACACCCTGAAAGATACTGCAGTTTATGTCCCAAATCAGTTATTCTTTCTCGCCTTAAGGGTTTATTAAATACAGCCAAGTGCCAGATAATAACCCATCGAAAAACCCACCATTCAGCCCATCGTGTCTGTGCCGCCTCTTTGAAAAGAAATAAAATATAACAAATATGTTGTATAGGCATCTCATTTCTTACAGGCCTAATAACCAAATGTCAGTGTCCAAACCAGAAGTTGAATCAATCATCTTAAATTGCTTTATTAGCTATTTGGATACAAGTATAGCTCCCTCAAATTCCCCAAGTCCTGGCTTCATCCTGACTTCAAGACCTAAAACCAATGTATTTTTTAAAATCACATTATGATTTCCAAGGCAACATTTCTATCTGAGCCCTCCACTGTTCATTTTGTACATACATATACACTGTTCTGTGTTGTTCTATAAATTAAAGCCACATTACATTGATATTTGAAAACATACTGTATTTTGAAGATGGTTAATCGTGGCTTTAAATAAAGTGAAACGCAAGTAGCCGAGTCTGTTAGTTTTATAATTTTTCAGTAATTTCTGGTAAAATAATTTAATGATGTGCAATCTGGAAACCATTGACGGTGTAAGAAATATAAAATTATTAACCTCAAAGTGCTCATCTTTTAAACTGGTGTAAATTCGGGATTTATAACCTTGATTTAAAAATAGCAAAAATAGACTGAGTTAATTACCTGTTATTTTTCAACAGTTTACACAAACACAGTCATTGCCTGTAAGTTAATATCAGTCGTTTAAAAAAAACAAAGTTCAGTAAGGCATTCCACTACTTTGTAGTCTTTTTGTACTGTTGTGTAGGCTTTGTTCGTACGACACTCCAGTCCTGCATATTTTATGTTTTTAGTGTCAAAATGTGTAAAAGCTATTCTGATGTACATAATAGAATCAATGTTCTGCTTCCTCCTGAAGCAGTTAACAGCCACATTGCAGCACTTGAAATATATTTGATGAGGAAATGTTATTCTTGTGTCAGGTGACATTTTTTTTTGCAGCTTGATTGACTAATGGTCAAGAGATATAAAACCTTAAGCATATGTCAGTTATTTTATGTGCAGCCACTTGACCTTTTTTTTGTAAATATGCATTGTTTTGTCATTGTGCCTTGTCAGAATTTTTTTTTCCCCTCTTTTACCTTATTTTTGACAGAGTGCCATGTCTTTTTATGAATGTAGTTGTTTTCTGAATGCATTATTTGAAGTAATGTGACTTGTAGATATGGTTCTGTGCATGACAGCAATTTGCTCAAGTAAAAATGCTACTAAAAATGCATTAATATCTCTAATCTCAAAAAATTAATCTGCATAATTTCTTATCAATAGGATCTTGTCATGTACTTAAAAGTAGAACAAACTACAGTATGAACAATGAGCAATGTTTCTATTTGCAATTTAAAGTTCTTGTTTGACATGTATAACCATAAACCACTTTGCTTGAAAAGTTTAATCTACAATATTTAATGTAACATTCTTTTAATTGTGTGTTTGACTTATTCATAGATGATTCACATCTTGCGATGATATTAAAGCAGTTTTTTTAAAAAAAACATTTTTATAGATGTATGATTTGGTTGAATTGGCTTCTGATAGGCATTAGCATGTATCAGAATACTCCTCAGGGTATTGCAATGATTCTTTACTCAAATAAATAAACACACCAAGTCACCTTTTATCTTGTCTATAAGTGTTCATCATGTACTGTAAGAACTTACTACTGCCATACTCCTGTCCTTCTGTGTCTGTGTCTGTAATGGAGATTGAAAACAGCTATAATATCTCATCTAAATGGATGAGATCCTGGGAATTGATGTATGCATATCAACCAGTTGAAATTTGAAAAAACCTGACTGTCAAAATAAAACATTCAGTTTTATTATTCACATTCTAGCTCTTCCTCTTCATCAGATGTGTAACAGCCGTAGCAAATTCAAAGCAAGAACCCTTACAGCCTTATTAGATTAATGATAAGGAGTAACCTATTATGACATAATTTGCTTAGCAACAGGCATATCATTATGGCATAATTACAGCTAGATCCCATGCTATGGTCTGGTACCAGGGTAGCAAGCTTTAAAGTTCAGTCTTTTATCCTGAACTTATATAGTACTTACATCAACTAGAAAATATATGTGTTGAAGGTAATTAGTCTTCTAACGAACAATCACTGTGTAATGACTGCAATGTTATTTGAATTGTCTGTCAAGACAACAACAATAAATTACACTTCTATAGTGCCTTCACATCGGAAAGACGTCTCAGGGCGCTGGACAATCGGATTTTGGTCCCGAGCTGGGAGTTGGGGTCAGAAGGGGAGGAGGGCAGGTGGTGGGAGGGTGGCCGAAGACATGGTTGAAGAGGAAGGTCTTCAGACCAGACTTGAAGGAGGCAAGAGAGGGGGTGAGGCGGAAGAATTGCGAGATAGAGTTCCAGAGTGTGGGTCAGAGATGCTGAATGCCCGACTGCCGATTGTAGGATGGAAAGTGCGGGGGACCTGAAGCAGGCCAGTGCAGACAGATAGGCAATAGATATTTTCCGATGTGTTAATGAATGTTATTTTGTTAAAACTACAAGGCATTATTTCATTTCCTTACTGCAAAGAGGAATTACTGGAAACAGGCTCTTAATGAAGACTAAATTGAAGAATTTTCCAAATCCTGCACAATGTGAAATTTTAAGACAATAGCATTAAGTCTGAGACCATGTGAAAATCCAGACCTCTCTTCAGATGTGTAGCATTGATCAGGACAGACCAATTTGTGAATATGGAGACCCAGGAGCATCTTTGTGAGTTTATTTCTTTCTGAGATCCAGGAGCATCTTTCTTCAGCGCCTTGGGATGGCCTCCCAACGTGAAAGGCGCTTTACAAATGTAATTTTGTTGTTTGTTGTTTTTGTAGTTTTTTTTGATGCATTAATATGTCATTTATTTTTTCTTTTAATTTCAACCAGCATTTATTTTGTTTTGTGTTCTGCAATTTTTTTGTTTGTTTAGTCTTTTATTTCAAGCGGGTGAAAAATGTGGCATTTTCCCATTGGTTTGCTCCTGAGACTTCTGCTGCCATCATGGCTAGTGTAAATAATAATAATCCTTGCATTTGAAATAGCAGCTTATTACGTCTTCAAGACGTCTCAAAGCGCTGCGCAGAATATACTGTAAAGTGAATTGACTGTAAAGCAACAACGACTACTTGCAATTAAATAGTGCCCTTTATATGGGGTCACGGGTCAGTACCCTGTAGCAAAGCAAGCCCAGCTTTGCTTTGTTGATCCTGGAGCCAATGAATGCTGCTTCACAGGATACTAACTAAGTTAAAATGGTGTCTCACATACCGATTTGTGACTGAAAGCAATAAATGGACAGAACTATTTTGCGGGGTGCAGAGTAGGAGGAGGGGAATTATGAAATGTCACATTTTTTATTCTATGATGGATTTGGGAAGTCTCTTCTTAAATATCTCCATTATGATTCCTCTTTAATTTCTAGTGCATAAAATACTACATTCATCCTGAGCAACCAGGAGGGTATTACATCAGTGGTGCTCATGATGGGAAGTCAGCTTTTCTAATGTATCCTGTAGCATTTGTGAGACAGGATTTGCTGCCATAATCACACCGCGCTGCACAAACCCAGC